CGTGTGGACGGGGCCTAAGAGGTTGGGGGCGCCCCTAAGCTGATGCAGTCTCTGCTCACTGATAGTTATGCCATTGGCCAGGAGGTTTTTATTGGCACTGAGGCGTAGCAAACAGGAAAATCAACAAGCACAAAAAAGAAAAAAAAGTTTTTTCAAATATATTACTGAAGACAGCATAGATTGCCATGAAGGCCTTGCCAAAAAATCTGCACATAGGCCTATACCTGTGCCCCAAAATAATCTTTTTCATTAAAAGGTTTAATTTTTCTAATTAAATCATCCACAGAATGATTGATGTAGAATAAAAAGATCAATTTTCCTTGTAAGAACCGTTATGAATTTTTAGGGATCCAGCATATATGTAAATATTTACCTATGAGGCCAATATCAACACTAAAAAATTCCACCAATAGGAATACAAGGTTGAAGTCATGTGATATAGAGCTCAGGCATCATAGTAGCTCTGTGAAAGAGCTGAGAAACAGTTTCTTCTGTTCTATATTTCAGATTTAAGCAAAATATAAATAAAAGAAGCAAAACAAAGGTATTAACAGCCAAGGTTTGAGAATTGGTGCCAACTTAGAGGAGCAAAGGGGCTCAGAAGCCTCTCAGAGGTAGCTGCTTTCTTTCTAGACAAGCAATTAAAGCTTTATGTTATTGTTAGCGGACCAGGCATCAAGTTGGCAAGAGCTGGGAACTTTTATCTATAACATGTAAACATCTATGCTTATGTGTTATATACAAATTAAAAATGGTGGAGCTGTTCTTTGTTTTCATTTACATAGAAGACTCCTATATTACTGTAGAGATGCATAGCTTTCCCTTCTTCCACCACAAAACAGTTTTTAAACAGAGCATACATTCTGTGTTAGTTATCTCTAATGTTGGTGTGTTGATGTGAATAATGTAAATTTTTAAGGTGTTTCCACTTTAGAGTATTACTGTCGCCACCCTCTCAATTAAGTACAAAGGAACAACAAATCACCTGGTAGGCGTTGCCATGGCCACCCCTGGCCCCCCATCTAGCTTCGCCCCTGTGGGTTTCAGGATGCAGGTCAAGTTCATGGTAATTAAGCTGACCTACTTATCAGTTTAGACAGAGATTTTTCTAATGTTTACCAGTGTTTACATCCCGTTAAAAGCTAAGATACCAGTGTCTTTATTATGTTCGTTACTTTATAAACTGATTTAGCAGCTATTTGCTTCCACCTCTCCCATTTATATGGTCGCTTACAACACAAACGACAATAAATCAAAAGTGAAAGTATTCTGGATAATAAAAACAATTATCAGGTGTCAGGTTTTTCTGAGGTGTAAATATTGATTCTAGGCTGAATCCCCAGGTTCAGAGTCTGTCTGTAAACTCTTGGATCTTTTGCAAATTATTGAAAATTAAAACCCCCATAATGGATCTTAGACTCCTGCTGGTAAAAAAAAAACTTTTTTATTAGCAAAATCATCAGTTTAAGAATTTCCTCACTTTTCTACAATCTCACAGTATTATGAGATCCATCCACTGGAGATAAAGGAACTCTTCTGGATCAAACGTTTGCTAAATCTTTTCAGAAAGAAGGACTTGGGCCTTTTTTGGTTTGGACTCAAAATAAACATTGAGAAGACGATATTTTTAATAGATCAACATATTTGTCATTTTCCTGCCTTTATAAAAGTTGCAAAAAAAATTTGTATTTTAGTAGAACTGTTATGAAACAGAAAACATGAGGGTAACCATTCATACACTTTCATATGAACAAACTGACCAATGAGGGCTTTGAGGGGGCGGACTTTAGTGAATTTCTTTGAATTGTACTGATGCGATCTGGGTCTCAGGACATATGAGCTGTGGATAATATGAAGGAACTATTTAACCCTTTAGAAACTGGAAACCTTTAAATATGTGCTAATGTTGATGAAACTAATCTAGGCCAGCTTCCTAATCCTCTTGTCGGACCCAATGGGAAAGTTTATTTATGGATAAAATTATGTGGTTTTTTTGAGGTCCAAATATCTGTAATAAAAAAAAAACAAAAAAAAACAAAAACAAATCAACTTCTTTTAACAGGATAACACAAACTGTTTCATTTTGCTGTCCAGTTGTAGGGTTTTATGATCAAACAATGATATAAAATCAGTAAGTGGTTATGTTAACATGTGAAGTAACCTAATATCCTGAGAATCTTTTCTCCCATCTATGTTTCCTTCTCAGATGTTCTGCCCGGGCATTTCCCCGAAACCATAAACATGCCTTTTACCTCTTTCCTGGATTCGACTGGAAAGCACCACGGCCCTGAGACCCTGGCCCAGCTCTTCAAGGAGGCCGGAGTGGATCTAAAGAAGCCTCTGTGGGCTTCCTGTGGTTCTGGAGTCACTGCTTGTCATGTGATTCTTGCAGCTTACAGGCTTGGGTATTCTGGGGTTGGTCTCTATGATGGATCCTGGGGGGAATTTTTCAAAAGAGCTCCTCCAGAGTACATCATTTCAGAGGGGGAGGGAAAGAAGGAGTGATAACCTGGTGCAAATAAATTAGGTCAATTTCTGAAGGAGCGGCATTTGTTTTCGCTGCCAAGAATAGCCTCATATTATGGGATTTATGCTAACATAATTGTTTTGATTCTTTTTTTTTTTTTTAGAATTATTGTTTTTAATTATTTTTTTTATAACAATTGATCCCACTGTGCTATTCGAACTTAACTATATTATAACCTATATGATCTAACAGAATAATGTAAAAGAGAACTAAAGTGCCTTAAATCTGTTTTTAATTCAGTGGTTCTTAAGTCTTAATTATTTTGGCTTTACTGCCATGAATTTATTTTTTCAATGAGAAATAATTAATTGTTAACAGTGTTTACAAATTCAAATTATGCTTTTTTTTGCTGGAATAAAAATGAACTGATAAGGAAGAGGATCATTCTGAAGGGGTTTGCTGCAGGATGATTTGCAGGCCAGACCTTTAAAAACATTATGACTCTTAAGTTGTTCTTGATTATTTTTTTAATCAAAGTTATTACTACATATATGAAAAATGTCAAGTGTTCTGATACAGAACCTTTTTTTTTGTGCACAAGTTATTTGTGGATCACAGCATTAAAGCATTAATCACGTCATTGTATGTTTTTTTTTATTATTATTGCTATTTATTATTCAGTTTCTTTTTTGCAGGATGCATTTAGCCTGACTAAGTAACCAGACATGACTCTATAGTGAGAATAACACATGCATCAGTAGATTTAGCACTTAAAACTTGTTACCTGGAATAGTGCTGAAACAATTGGATTTATCGCTTACTGTAATAAACGTCATCTTTTATAGTAATGGATTAGAACATAGTTGGTGAGGACAAACTTTGCCAAATACAACAAAAAATCGCCATCATAGCCAGCGGTCCTTCACACATGGCTATGCCGAGAGAGGGCCGCTGCAGACGGGCTGCCGTTAGACCTGGCTACCGTTAGCCTCAGAGCTCCGCTGGTTGCCGCGATCCTCTCAAGTTCGGAACATTTTCTTTTAAATTACGCATTAAATCTGTGAATGGGCCATATGGTGATGCTTAAAAGTATAATGTTCTCGACTCAAATAATCTTAAAATGTACTTTTATTGAACAACAGAAAAGAGAACATTTAACTTAGTACTCTGAGCTCTGTGAGTTAAAAAGATGGACCGCCAACCAATGAGCAGAAGTTGACTCTCTAGGACACACCCCCTCAATATTTGCATAATGAGACAGAAATGCATACAAAAATGTAAAAAGGGCAGACAGAAATAAATAGCGGCGAAGAAATAACTGGGGTAAAAAAAAATACAAAGGAAGAATAAAACAGACAAAAATATTTTAACATGCACACAAATAAATACCTAAAAATATAAGTAATTAGAAAATAAAGATGAAGATTATAAAGGATAAAAAAAATAAGGTAAATATTACAAAGGCAAATAAATAAAGAAGCTAATTAAGAGAGTTATATACATTTATGTCTCACTGTATAATTTAATTTCTACTTGCATTTTTTTGTTTATTGTATTTTTGGTGGCAATTAATTGTATTCTTATTTATTTATTGAGCATTTATTTATTTCTGTATTTATTTTTAAATATGGCAGAGTTGGCCCTCCGTATTAAACAGGTATGGGCAAGGAGGGGTGAAGCTGCCCTTAGTGAAAGTAGCCACTGATTGGTAGATGCATAAGGAGGGGGTGGACAGTGTTTTGGTCAACCTTATCTTAGCTCCACATCTCACTAACTCACAGTCGTAGCAGAGCACACAGACACAGTGCTGTCAGCTGAATCCAACTACTGTGTTAAGCTTTCTTACACCCTCTCTCAGTCCACAATATGTGAACTACAAATGAGACAGTTCACAAATGCGCTAATTTAAATGAACTACATTGTGTTATATATATATATATATATATATATATATATATATA